CAGATTGCCTTCGTGTAGCTTTGCCCGAAATTCAAAAACAAACAAACAAAACATATACTCTTCTCATATATATAGTATTCCACTTGATGCTACGTAAGTGAAAAATCTATGGGCGTAGAACACACTTCGTAAGCGGGAGGTCCAGGATTTAATCTCGTTCTGTATCCACTTATTTTGCCTAACAGTGTTTCCATACTCAAATAATTTTAATACATACATCGTACGCGAAGCACTAGTTTATCCCTAGTTGATAAAGTTAAAAATAAAGTGATAAATCTGGTGATCATATGAAGATAAACATTGTTTCAGTTGTATGTTTTAGCGAAAGATTTGGAATTCGAAGTTACTTACATATTTAAATTCCTCTCGTGTTTACTGTGTTGAAAGTGGTTGTTTGAAGCGTGGAGTTTGTCTGGATCTTAGAAAAATGTTAGACGATAAAAAATAAGGTATAAATTCCCCAAATCAAGTTGGGGACTGGTGAATCTTGTCTTAGTTGATGCAAAAAATACTACATTTTTAGTTTATTAAAACGTTCCTCTGAGTTATTACTGTATTGATTCTATTTGAACATATGTTTTGTGGTGTTTATCAACTTCTTTGTTAGCTAATAGGTTATCGAGCAGAATTTAGTAGACTTGAACAAATCGAGCCCTCTGAAGGTTAGCAAACCGGTTTTTGACTCTTTGTTCGTCCAAGGATGGAAAAAGAGGGATAAAAGGGTTGTTGAAACCAGTCTTTAAACTTAAAAAAGCCTTCTGTATCCTCGTCACTTAAAAAAAAAAATTCTTCCAAAAGTAACCTAATTTTTATGCACCTTTTATTTTGCTGTAAGAGGAGCGGTCGCACCCCCGCTCCATCCGCCCTTAACTAGTAGAGATCCAGAAAACATTTAGATAAAAAGTTTATAAAAACGACCTTTATACTCCTGATATATATATAAAAGAACTTTTCTATTTTAACCAATTTTTCGCCTTTGAGGCTTCATCAGGTTTAATATACAATTGATATTGATATTTTAACGTTGGTTAAAAAAAAAAGTTATTTTATATATAGCTGGGGTATAAAGGTCGTTTTTTTCTAAACTTTTTATCAAAATGTGTAAATCCCGGAAAACATTTGCGGCCCATTTGTCTTTATTGAGCCTTTATTAAGTACGGCCTGTGTCCGATAAAGAGATAACACTATACGTAAATTATTTCCCGAATGTATCGTTTTTAGAAAGTTAATTTTTATTTTAGTTTTTCCAATTTCCAAAAACTTCTCTGTGCAACGAATGATTCGATTGGTATAGATATATTTCTGGCTTTATGCAATAAACAAGTGTTCCCTAAAGATTGCGTATTGGTAGTGGTTTATTGTAAGACTTTGAGAGCAAGTTACTTTTCATGCGTCAAAGTCACGTGCAGAATAGGAATCGTAGGTTTCACTTTCATTCCTCTAAAAATCTGTTTGGAGAAGACGAAAAATGGCTACACGAAGGGCTCTTCACTTTGTATTTAAAGTTGGTGACAGAAATCTTACAGCACACTTTTACAAAAATATTTTAGGAATGAAGGTATGTTTAACAACGTTGGTTCGGGTGCAAGTTCATTGATACGATAACATAAGCGATACTATACTAGACTATAGTATTTGAACTTTGATTAATTTACCGGTTACTTCAGTAGAGTAGACGTCACAGGTTCACTAACTAGTGAGTAATTACACTATGAAAGTTATTGTTAAACTATAGGTAGGGTAGATATAGTGATGTAAAGACTAGAAAGAGTAATTCTTCAATAAGTTATTTATTCTGGAATTTTTGAGAGAATAAACACGTATACCTCTCCCACCATGTGTTTGTTTCAAAGGACTAAACACTTAAAAAAGTTGTAATAATAGTAATAGTAAGAGGTTTGTAAAATATACCTATGCACATATTATAATACTTTTCCTGTGTTTTTGCTGTCATAATTGTTTTTGGTAGAATTAATCCTGACTATTTCTTCTTTGATTGTTAAAATTGACAGTCTCACAGTATTTCATTATAATCTGACACTGAGAGTGAGAGATAATTAGTAATATTATTGTAATGTTGTTACTGTCCAGTAGGCTTATTTTCTAAACATCATTTAGTATATTATTAACTTAAGTATGAAGGGCTTGTTCACTTGTTATTGTTTTTTCTTGTTCCAAGAGAGTGGCTTATTCTTTCTTGTTCATTTTCCTGTTTCCATTGTAATTCGTGTAAGCACTTATCTTCATTTTCAGATATTGCGACATGAAGAATTTGAAGAAGGATGCAAAGCTGCTTGTAATGGGTAAGATGAAATGCATTTCTCACAGAAAATTAAAAATCACCTGTAATTTATTGAATAATCTTAACACCCAAATATTAGCAAAAATTACTTAATGTTGTTGTTATTAATTTGTGTTTATTAATACACAGTGACTAGATACCTGGCATTCTAAAAAATTGAATATTAATGAGCTACAATGACAATAGTCATATTAGTGATGATAATTAATAATAATAAGAACAAAAACAATAATAATGTAACAGGTGGTTGGTAGGTATAGTCGTTGAGTTTGACTTCACACAAGTTACAAATGAATTTATTTAAATTCAGGTTATGCAGTTGTGGGTTAAGCACACAAGCCACCAGCTCAAGGAAATTGACATTTATAATAAAAAATTCACTCAGAGTTGAATAATAGAAATAATATACAAAACTTTAATTAAAAATGCTCAGATGTTCATCGACATCTACAATTTCAAAATTATCTTGAAACAACTCTTATGTTAAAAGCATTAAATTCTTCATTCTGGATAAGCAACTGTTTATTGATTAAACCATCCACAAGAATCATTAATATGAAAACTACACCAAACAAGTGATCTATTACGTTAATACATGAAATACATTCATACATAGTTATGTTTTGCTAACTCATTAAAAACGTCTAGAATATTCTTTAACAACTCTGTTATCTCTTCATTTAGTTTTGCTAACTCTACAAGTGAATTCTTCTTTAACATAACGTTATTCTCAGACATTATACACCATTTACTAATATGTTGTTAGACTAGAGAGGGATAGCAATTATAATTTATGGAGAGTGTATGTCGTGAATGTTTTCTATTCATTTGAATACGCCCACGTTCAGACATCGTGTCTAGTGACAATGTGGATCAATTGGGAATTTTTGGACAGCAGGTTTAGCAGCAAGTCTGATTCAGTGGAGGAGCTCTATCTCTGGACCAAAAACATGACATTTTACACACATTTCTGGTGTTTGTTCGATTTCTCAACAAGTACAGTACAGCTATTTTGCAAGTAGTTCCTTCATCTAATTGGTAAATTTGTGTCCTTGAACTGAACCCAAACCCAAGCAATATATAATTGGTTAGCCGAATAAGCCATTTAATGTTGGTGTCTTTTCATATATACTTCTCCACTTGTGGCTTCCAAACAAAGTTGCACCACTCATTTTTTTATAGCGACACTTCCTTTAGTGTAGTATATGTTATCGTAACATTTGTTGCATTCTTCTTTACCATGATCGTGTCTGTTTAATATTGATAATGAGAACCACTTGTTTGTCCTTTCTCATATTACAGCTTTGGAATGCATCTCAATCAGCTTATGTATTTTATTTAGTATTTTTCATGTCCTTATTTGGTCATCCGTTCTCCATTAGGTTTTTATTATACATTAGGCATGGTGCGTGTTTTTGTTCAACTAACATGTGTGTGTGTATATATATATATATATACACAATAAAATTGTAATTCAATTCGTTAAGCATTTGTAATTTTGGCAAAGGGTTTAATAATAAATTATAATGTTTATAATAGTAATGATAATTTCAAAAAATTTATATTATCACAAATTATTTATGTATAGATAATATAAATTAACATATTGGAAGCTTATCAGTATTTATGATCATGAAGTTATGGATAGTCAGGTGTCTAGTATTTCGAGGATCATTCCCGTGAACTTGTAGGAAATACATACTGATCCACACGAAACAAGAATGACGATCAATATTTATTTTTCCAGTGCAAATGTTTTATTCAGATTGTTTCGTCAAGCTTCAAGACGAATCAGTCTCATCATTTACTATTACTCATTCTCTAGTCGAGTGAATGATGATCAGTATTCATATTTTGGGACTGCTGGGTATATAGCTACTGCATTATCAGTCTAAATTGAAAAATATTAACTATTAATCTTTTTTTTTAAAGTGGGCTCAAAATATTCACATTTTACACGTGTGAAAATAATTTATAAATCTGTATTTTTTTTAAAATGCTAATAATATCGTGAATTTGTAAAGCTCATGTTATTTCTGTTGAAGAGCATCAATGAAATTTATATTGAGGTAATGCTTACTCATGATGATCAATAAGTTTAATATATTTACAGATGTAATTTACTTTTGAGGACAAAAAAATGAAACCATTCTTTTATTGGAATAAATTTATTTATAATTAAATATATACACAACTATGGCCAAAAGTGTTGTATCACCCTAGAATTATCTGTCGTTGCTCCATAATAAATAATGTGTAAAAAATGCATGGAGAAATTACTCTTATCTGTATATGCAGTTATTTGTTTAAGTTGTTGGTTTCGGTTTCTTTCCCATTTTTAACATACTTCTTTTAAGTGTACTTTGTTTGTTTGCAGTCACAGTAAGTGAATGTAAGGCTTAGCATGCATTGCCAGGAAGGCAGGAGTATGGTTCTGTCCTTTAGGGGATTTAAGTCTCGAAGTAAAGTGATTTTAGTGAAAATGAAGAGTAACTTGGATTTCATAGTTTTTAGTATACCTTGCTTTAGAATGAATTTTTATTTATCATAACTTGGGGTTATTTTCATTTAGTGCTTTCATCTTTATTTTAGTCTACTTTACTGGGGTGAGAACTTGGACTAATAAGAGTTTTTCTGTTAGTCCTACACCTTTCCTTATAAGAGTTTTTCTATTAATCCTACTGCTTTCCATTTAAATACACAGCACATAATCACATGCTCTATTGTTTTGTAGTGTAGTGTGTTGTTTTCTTAATTGTGATTGGGTATTGTTTCATGTATGAGGTTGTATCTTTTCTCATCCTTCATGATTTAACTGTTGCAACTCAAAGGGAAATACATCTCAAAACTCAAGATCGAGGACCCTAATACTATTAGCAGACCTTACTTCTCTGCTCTGCTGGTAATCCACAAGATACTACACTACTATTATGGCTTTTGGTAGACTTTTTAAATATCATTTGAAGTTTATTTGATTAAATGATTTAAATTATGTATATTTAATTTATTTTTGAATTATGTATCATTCTTAGTATTTTAGGATGGTCCAAAATTTGTGGTTGTAAGTGTATATATGAAACTGATATTAAGTTCGATGAAAACCTTGAATCTAATACTCCAGCTAAATATTTTAAGTTGCTATTTTAACGTGCCAGCTGATAGTGTGTTTAGAAAAAGATACTAGTTGTTGTAGACTCCTTTTGAGATATGTCTGCTTTAAATAAATTATCATATTTTAAATTTGCATAGAGTGGCCATTTTTATTTTTATTATACAAATCAGAATTGTTGTTTATTCAGACCTTATGATGGTAAATGGAGTAAAACCATGGTTGGCTTTGGACCAGAAGATAATCATTTTGTTGCAGAACTAACGTATAATTATGGAGTTAATCAGTATCAGTTGGGCAATGATTTTCTGGTAAGTTAAGAAATAATACCATACTTTTAAAGGATGAGTTTTTATTTTTAGGGATAACAATTCCCATAGCAACTGTTCCAGAAAAGTACTATAACGTTGAACAACTGTATAAAGTAAGTTATTTCAGACAATATAATGCATCAGTATAATATGTATGTTACTCGGAGGTGCGTTGTGTTAGATAATAAGTTAATGTTATTTCTCTGATTTTGATAAAGAAATTCTTGCAGTTATCTAGTCCTTGTTTGTTCAGTTCGATCTATGATTTTTTTTGAAATTTTATTACTAAGATATTTACTTAAGTAATATAACTATTCTAATATCTACTATTTTGGTAGAAAATTACATTTTTTTAAATCTAACTCCTGAAATTATATGTCTTGCTTTGCCATGGGTTTCTATGTGGTGAATTATAAGAATGTTCAACAGATAATATCCATTGAGAGTAACATTGATTCAGTAAAACTTGGGATACTGTGACTCAAATTAAAATCAAGTTATGATTAATTTTGGGAGTGAAAAACATTTTTTGTGTCAACAGTATTATTGGAGAAAAGGATCTTGGTGATCTTATTGATTAGTCTCTTAAGCCATCCAAGCCGCTTACAGTTGCTAATGATAGGGCAAGTGGGAATTTAGGTTGTACCACATAAATATTGAATACAAGTCTAAAGAGGTTATAGTTCCATTGTATAGGTCATATCTGGAATATTGTTTTCAACCTTGTGCTCCTTTCCTTAGAAAGGATGTTGAATTGTTGTAAAAGATTCAGAGGAGGGCTTATAGAATGACATCTGAGATGGAAAGTTGTCGTATGAAGACTGGTTAATTTCTATGAAATTATTTTGTCTTGGTGTTTAAGAATATTAATGGAATTAATAGTGTTGATGAATCATATTTTCTTTGGAATTAATGGTGAAATTGGTAGGATAAGGGGGACACAAATATAAATTTTGAGAGGTAGGGGTAATTTTCATCTGAGACAGTTTTGTTTTTTCTAAGAGGTTATTGTTTTTTTATTTTTTAAAACTTAGTGGATGTGACAGCCTAGGTGGACAAACAGGCTCCTTGTTGTCCTTAAATTTTATGTTATTTTATAGATTATGTTAACCTGGCTAAGTGAAGAGATGAATAAAATGCACAAAGCTGCTGATAAAAAATAAAATTATACAGATTTAAAATCTGTATAATCTGTTGTCTAATGAAAAGATGTTTGTTAGTAAAATGTACTAATGATAATCAGAAAACAAATGTATTGCTCAAGATAAAATTTGCGTGGCATTATTTTTATTTTCTTATTGTGTTATATGTAAACAGGGCATCACCATCAAGTCTCAAACTGCTATAGAAAATGCCAAAAATTTAAACTGGCCAGTCAAGGAGGACAATAACTGCTATGTGATTGAAGCCCCTGGAGGATACAAGTTTTATTTGATTAATGATTCTCAACCACAAGAGAAAGGTACTTAGTTTGTTATTACTCTGAAAGTGAATAATTGGTCGACATATATTTTACCGTTCAGAATGAACAAAGGTCTGACTTTATTCACTGGATCCACTTTGCAGTGATTCATCAGTGAATTATTTCTGATAACTGCAACCAGTAGCTAACAGTCATCAATTGTAGTTGATCCTCTAGTTTTATAAGAGTATAGTTACATTCTTTTGTGCCCACAACAGTAAAAATATGTATTATTTTACTTTCATTGTTGTTGTTGTTTTTTTTGTCTGTGATATTTTATTGTGATGCACTGCAGAAAGCAGTTAAAGGATAACTGGAGTTTATAATAACTTAGTTGTGACAAGCCAAAAAAACAATCTTCTAAAGTAGTGTCAATTGATTCACACAACTAATTTTTTATGTAAATCCAACATTTGTTATGTGATATGAAGCTCAAGTGACTGATCATTGAGCCTGGGAGTATAAATGAACATTTTTGTAAAGATGGCTTCAAAATCTTTATATTTCACTTTAATATGGAGTGTGTTAATCATGTTGAACAGCAAGGACAGCCTGACACAAGTACGTATATTGATGACATTGTAAGGTGCCCTTGACAACTCTTCTGAAAGACCTGTTTCTAGAGTACTTTTAATATCTGGAGTCACTTGGTAGTATATGATAGTCTTCAAAGAGTCCCATGCATACTTGATAAGATTAAAATCTGGCCACTCCATTCAGTCAGTCCCTTCTTTTTCGCAACAGATTGCTTGAAACGGTGCCAAGTATACAGCCAGTGGACCAATTACGTGCAGAACACTATCTTTTCACTGAAGAGTCCCGCTTCATCCTTCAATCACAAAACAGTCATTTAAAGAGAATAAAAAACTTGACCCAACTCTATTTTCATACAAGGACACGAAACACTTGGCAGTGGAAATACATCAATGCAGGAGTAGTTGTTGGTGGACATACCAAGTTCTATGTCCTGAAGGATGATGCAATTCATGTCACATGTCCTATGATCCTTTGTGCTGTCATATGCTGGTGCAATTGGTATTAAGATTAAAGGATCATAATACTCACTTCCACAGGTTGACACGTTACTTGTTCTTGCTGTCAACGGAATACAATCTCATTACTTCTAAAACATATGACTCGGTCCTGAAGAAGGTATCATATGACTGCAGTGAGCTGAAATTGACAGGTAAAAATCTGCTTATGTTTTTCACGATGGTTTTCTATTGTAACCAACTGTACTACTGACTTAAAAGCAATTCCACATTCTGCTGGTGCTGCTTCGAGACACTTGTAAGGAGTTTGTAACAGCCTGTTGTGAATGAACAGCTTCCATTTGTCAAATGATTCTCCACAAGAGTGAAACATCCAAATGTCTTCTTTAAAGTTTAGCCATGGTTCGTGAACAGTTTGGAACATTTTAAACATAGCTATAGCACAGTCATGATTGTGTGGGCTCACCATAAATTATGTATATATAACTAATCATTTACATTTGAAATCTCAGACAACTAATTTACAAAAAGAGAACTGAAGAGGGTTGGGTTGGTGAACTGACATCATGTGATAACAGTAAATGAGCATTGTCATATCTGTAATATTAAAATTCTACTTATCCTTTAGTTGTTTTGCGTAGTATAGTTCTTTAGAACCTTTCACTATTTAACTCTTTCAAACTGGGCTCGTTCTCTGGGACTGACCTCATAACCAATTTGTGCTTGTTTTAGTTTTCATGTTATAACTTTTAAATTAGTAAGCGAATGTTAACGAAATTTGGAAGTTTGTCAGTAAACATTACAATGCTTTCATATGCAAAATATCTAATTTTTTTATTAAGTTTTAAGGTTCGTAAAGCAGTGTTTCTCTCATGCCCTTTTTTTTCTTTTTACATCTTGCCTATCTATCATGCAAAATAATTTTCATTTTAGCATTAAAAATACTTTTATGCATCAGAAAATTTTGAAATTTCACATGTGAAATCTTTATAATGTCTGGATAGTTATCAAACATTTCTTAAG